TTCCCTCCACAGCATCCTGCATTCTGGTGTTGGCAAGGGTGTCTGGTCTTCTTGTGATGTGTCCAAACCTTTCCAGCTTTGTTTGTTGCACAAGCTCCAACAACAGTTCATAGGTTCCAATTTCTTGATTGATTTGCTGCTTGACAGACTTGTTGGTCCAATGCTCAGTGTATACTCCAATCATGTTTGCATCCTCCAATCGTGTAGTGAATATTCCTGGCCCCTTGGTGATAGAACCTGCCACTCATCCAAACTACTACAATCTTTCACTCAACAGTACTTATTTCTCACTTTTACCTCAAGCCTGTGGCCTCAAATACCTGCCAATCACACTACCTTTCTTGCTAAAGCTCAAACATCAACTACACATGCTCACTCATAGAAAAGTAGGCTAGAAGTTAGAATTTCACCCCTTCCAGGCTTTTCTTAACCAAGCCTCAACTGCTCATGCCTGACAATTCATTTGCTGGAATAGCAGGACAGAGCAAAAACCTGGGGTCTACACCCCTTTTCTTCCACCAAGATCTGCCATGGCATCTGTTTTGCAGGCTCCCTCTCTGCCTGGCCTCTTAGGACCTCTTGCTTCCTGTGTTCACTCTCAGCCAGTGAGAACAAGAAAGTGATGGCAGAAGAAGCTAGACAAACAGGTGGGGCCCAAAGATTTGTCATAACACCCAAGTACCCATGTCTAATTCCTACGCATCCTCAAACCCAGCCTGGCACCATACCACCTCACACCCTCTTCACTAATCCCACTGGGCAGGCGCCCCACTCCCTAGCTCTTTTCCCATCCAGCTCACTCAGTTACATCACCAACACGCTTAGTTATCCTGCCAACTACCAAAAGCATTTCCTTCCCAAGCGAGTGTGAAGTGTATGTTCACTAGGGGTGTGCAAAGCGGGCCCTATTCGATTCGGACTCGGCCTGAATCAGGGACAGTTATTCGATTTGTTGATTCGGATCACTGTCCCTGATTCGATTTGGCCAAATCCAATTCTGAAGATTTTATGCTGATTCAGAGAATCAGTGATTCGGAGATAGACACAGCTTAAAAAGTTTTTTCTACATACCTTGAGGTAGCAAGCGCATCTCGTGATCACTGTGATGCTGGGGCTCTTGGAGCGTCCCACAGGAGTGTTGGGGGGCCCTCCATGTGTACTTCTGGTCCACTTCCAATTCTGCTGGGGAGTGTGCTGGGGGTCTCCCCGTGCCTCCCCAGCCTGGCGATCGGCTGTGGGGGGACCCCAGGTGCCCCCACCCCAGTTCCAGAAGGCACCAGTCACCGAGCCAGGGAGGCATGTGGGGGCCTCCCCAGCATGCTCTCCGGCAGACCCAGAGATGGATCAGAAGTGCTTCTGGTCCACTTCCAGGTCTGCTGCTGAGCATGCTGGGGAGCCCCCCACACTCCTGTGGGGCACTCCATG